CATCCCAGTGCGCACGTGGTTAGCGGCCCCGGCCCCCATCCCAGCGCGCACGCGGTTAGCGGCCCCGGCCCCCATCCCAGCGCGCACGCGGTTAGCGGCCCCCACATCCCAGTGCGCACATGGTTAGCTAGAATCGGGGGAAAGGCGGGTCCGAGAAGACGAGGGCCCAGGCCACGGCACCACGTCAGGAGGGAGCGCCTCTCACAGGGAGCTTCGCCTTCTCAGCTGCCAGCCCGGGTGGCCACAGGGCCCTCAGTGGGCACGTGCACAGAGTTGGAATGCTGGCCTGAGGCCCTAGTGGCAGGTCCTAGGCTGGGAGCCGGGACACGGGGCAGCCATGGGCATGCTGTGCCTCTCATGGTGCCGCCGTGCTGGGCGGAAGCCGGGGAGCACGCCTGCCCAGGTGTACTCGGCGTGCGCGGCCCTGACGGCGGGTCTGAGGGTCTAAACACCTCCTCTGCCCCTGCTCTAGGGCTCCCCTCACCGTTGCTGGTTCACCTACAAACAGTCACGTGTCGCACTTTTCTTCTTAGCTTTAGTTTCAAAAGAAATCTGTCAGGATGGTTTTCAAAATACTAGGTAGTCCAAGGGCTTCGAGCTCCACACCCTGCCCCTGGCTCCACCCACCACTTGTACAGGGCCCTGTCATCCTGCCGGTGCCTGCCGCCCGGTGAGTAAGCCGGCGAGGGGCGGGGAGCCGCTGCTCTGGTATTTAGCTAGAAAAGAAGCCCCTGACACACGCCTGCAGTCTTTCTCCTCCAGGAGAAGTGCTCCTGACGCAGACGCAAGTGTCCCTTAGAGTGGCTGAGAGTTTGGTGGCTGGTGAGCAGCACCTTCCCCCATGCGCCCCATGGCCCTCATCCAGATCCATCCCTTTGCTGAAATGGGGTCCCAGCCCTGCTCCTTGTGGACCGTGGGCGCCCAGATTTCCCCTGTGCTGAGCCACCGCTTGGTTTGAGAAGCAGTAAGGGGGCAGGGCAGGGAGAGGGGAACGGAGGGGTGTGGCTCTCTGGGCCCGGCCTTCGGTCTGCCCTGCCCTCGGCAGCCAGCTGCGGGGATGGCCAGCAGTGGCCGCTGTGTGTACAGAGCAGGGATCTGAATCGGGCACCACTCGTAGAGAACAGCAGCCCACTGCCGCACCTCCTTCACTCAGCAGACACTCAGCAGGCGGTTCTGTGTGTGTGTGTGTGTGTGTGTGTGTGGCAGGGTGGTGCAGGGGCTGGAAGCAGGAGCCTGTGCCTTCTCCCTGCCCACTTGCGCCGGACTCCTCTGCTCCCCACACCCCTCAGCCCTCCTGCCTGGATTTCCCTAACCCCAGCTTTCCCGCTTGTTCCCTCCTCTGCCATTTCCAACCTGAGCAAGTCACCCTTGTGATTTGCAGTGGTCACTTTTTATCAAGTAATTCAGACAGATGAGGTTTACCACAAAGAGCTACCAGCGAGTGAGCCCCAGGCTTATCGCAGATAATGGCCAGTCAGTGAGTTCCAGGGTTACACAGGTGACTACCAGTGAGGAGGACCAGAGTTAGCACAGGTAACTACCGGAGAGGGAGCACCGGCTTACCCTAGGTAACAGATAACCTACCAGGGAGTGAGGACCAAGCTTACCCCAGGTAACAGATAACTGCCAGGGAGGGAGTACCGGCTTGAAAAGTAGCCTGCTGCCCTGGCTCCGTTTTGGCCAGGACTTCATCCGGATGCTGGTTGGCAGGGAAGGTCTCCATTCTTGGGGCGCCTCTCCTTCACCTTCCTCACTGCTCCTGTGGGAGTGCCCCTCCTCGTTCTAGGTCTTTCTTCCAGAGGTTGAAGCTTCTGGGTGGCTCTGTAGTCACCTCCAGCTCCGTGAGGCTCCTCTGCCGAGGACCCCATGCCTTTGGCTTCCTGCCCAGTAGCTTGCTGGGTGTGAATGAGCCCTGGTGAGTGACAGGCGGCCTGGCACATGTGCTCTGCGTGCTCTCCTGAGGGTTCCGTTTCTCCTGAAGGTTTCGATACATTCTGTGTGGCTGGGAAATAACATCACACCCCTGCGAGAAGAGGAGTGGGACGAGGAGGAAGAGGAGGAGGCCGATGTCCCCGCACCTCCCTCACCACCCACGTCACCTGTCAACTCCAGGTTCTCTGTCAGCCTCTTTAAGATTTTTGTAGAGCATTTAGCAGTTTCATCAGTCATTTGCTTTGTTTAGGGATTGTTTAAAAAGATGAAGAGTAACCATCTTCCGTGTGCTCTGTAGGAAACACCGAGCGGGAGTGGACATCCATTCCTGCTCACAGTTCCTGCTAGAACTGTACAGCCGCTGGGTCTTGCCATCCAGCTCAGCCCGGAGGACGCCTGTCATTCTGATCAGCGAAGTGGTTCGGTCGGTGAGTTTACCTGTCCCTGTCGCGTGTATGTGTGTGTACATGCGTGCGCACACGCACGCACACAGACCAGCAACAACTAGGTGGTACGTACCAAGGAACTACACCCACTGCCATTGAGCTGATCCCAACACAGTGCCCCTGCAGGACAGAGCTAAACTGCCCCCAGGGCTTCCAAGGCTGTCATCTTTATTGAAGCAGACCGTCTCGTCTTTTTCTTGCAGAGCTGCTGCTGGGTTCAGTTAGCACCCAAACATTTAACCACAACATCCCTAGAGCTCCTTGGTGGTGTTTGTTGTTATTGTGTGCTGTCAAGTCAGTTCTGACCCACAGCGCCCCTAGACGACAGAGTGGAACTGCCCACAGGGTCTCCCAGGCTGTCAATCTTCACAGAAGCAAAGCCCAAACCACACCCACTGCCATGGAGTCCATTCTGACCCACA